CAGTCATTAAAGTCCTATTAAGTAATACAAGAAAAGAGATCTGCTTCCAAGGATACATGTATATGAAACAGATTATAAGATCAACTACTATCAGATGGTGATTTCTTCCTATTTTTCCATGTATGCCATTTTTATCAGTGTCATTTTATTAGGTTGGTGTAAAAATAATGACGTAATAATGTCGTTTTTTGACGTATGTTTTAACGTCAAAAACGACATTATTACTTCATTATTTTTGCACCAACCTAATACTACATACATAATACTAGTACCATTATTACCTAAATTCAGGATTATATACAGGTTGGGTGGAAAGTAACTAGGCATTAGAAATTGTTTATAGCATTTTTAGTCTCACGGAAATCATGGCGAAAACATTTTTTAAATAGACAACACTAATAAGGATTTTTTATTTACGTGTAGGGGCAAAAATCTAAAGACTATGACCGCAGCTTGGAATATGGAGAGTTAATGCTAAGTTGGCATGAAGATTTTTTGAAAACATCCTCTGGAGTGACGAGGCTGTATTTCATGTTGGTGGTTTCATCAATCATCACAACTAGGCGTCGTGTGAAAACAATCCAAACATGGCGATTGAGAAGATGCAAGCTCAACCAAAAGTGACCGTGGTGTGGAATTACGGCAACAAGAGTTGTTGGCCCATATTCTCTGCTTGACACCATTAATACGGACCGCTATCATCAGATGTTCGAAAATTACATTTGTCCAACGCTGGGATAACATTGGTAACCTGATATTCATGCAGGATTTTGCTCTTACTGTGCGTGTGTGATTAGATCAACATTTTCCAGGACCTTGGATGGGACAATGCGGATCTCATGAAATGCCTCAGGGCTGTCCAAATCCTACATGTGATTTTGTCATGTGGGGTTACACAAAAGAGGTGTACAAGACAAAACTTCGCACACTGGAGGATTTAAAGACAAGGATTCAGGAGCTTTTCAATTACCGCATTTGACGGCATATAAGGCTCACTTTTTTTTTGTAATAAAGATAACTTTGAACATTTCCCTGCGTCTTATGTGCCATAAGTAGGTTTAACATTCTTGATAGTCGGCCGAAAATAACTAACCTGTTAACTCCTTTTAACTTAGATTAAGCATGAAGGAGCGATGGAACACGTGGATGACAATGCCTGATCATGACCTTACACTTACAGGAAGAATAAAAGACCCAGTATTTCACAAGTCTGCGAATGGGTGAAGTAAGCTTGGGATAATATTAGACCAGAAATTGTTGTGACATCTTTAAAAAAGGGTGGCATTAACAATTCTCTCAATTGACGAAGATAACGCATTATTTAACGATGACGATAGTTGGATTGAAAATGAGTATCAGAGTTTTGATAACGAATAATTTTATGGATTTCATAATGAATAAAATTTTAATGTTAACTGTACTGTTTTGCTGAATTATAATAATTGTTTGATTTTTATTATGTTTTCTTACCTATTATGTTTTTTTACCTTTTATAGGCTCGTGTACTTTTTTCCTACTATTTTTCGTTTGCATGGCTTCTTTGGCCAAAATAATACCTTATAAATATAGCCTAGGCTGTACTATATACTAATAACTTTCCTTGATTTTCCCTGCTGAATTGAGGTGCCTCTTATACACCCGTGCCTCTTATATGCCGTCAAATACGGCATACCGCAGACGACGTCCTTCAGAAGGTGGCTCATTCCCACACTGGCTGCTTAAGATTGAGGCTACCGGTGCCTTACGTTGAAATATGAAGATTAACTTTTATTTTCTCATGTGATAAAGAACATGTATCAATTGTTTCAATAAATTTGTAATAGGAATATGAATTTTATTACAAATTTGTAATGTCTACTTATTTTCACCCACTCTGTCTAAATCGTGTAACAGCAAAATTGTCTAATTGTTAAGATTTGAAGCATTATATCTTAAAAATGATTAAATATATCTTACTGGAATTCACCGATTTTTTTTATAACACAATTGAACTCTATTTTGAACAATAAGAGTGTATTTAGCTCTAAGTTGTAATGATGATCCCTCTTGTTGTTGTGACCTCCTTATCCAGTATTCCTCCCTACTGCTCCTTTATAGCCTTGTCTGGGTTCCTCTCTGCCCGAAGGCTGAGAGTTTGACAAGCACTCTTCCGAAGTAATCCGTAGAGTGAATCAGGCAGTCTTTGAATCTAGACTAGGTGTTATCTAAGGATAGAGAGAAAATATCTACAATACTATTTAACCTATAAATGGAGAAAAATGAATTCGTTACTTTCCGAAGTGTATTACCTTTATGTGAACGCAGCACACTAAGCCGGAATTTGAATTCTACTCACGAATTTATTTTCACCACTAATAAGCATTACCATGAAAATATAGTTAATAAAATAAGTCAGTAATTATCAATATTCAGGTTTTTTCATTAATAACTACCTGTGTATGTTTATGTAAGATATAAAAGATTCATGAATGTGTATATGCTTATAAATCAATCAGTTTCTCCATATATACACTAAAGCTTGGTAGGAGAGGCTTAGAGAATGATTGGGAAAGAAACGAGAACATAATATATATATATATATATATATATATATATATATATATATATATAAATACAAATGATGAAGAAAAGAAATAAAAGAAAGCCAAAACTTATATATTTATCTTCAAGAAGATTATTTTCACCGAAATAATTTAATAATAGAAATTGAACTTTCCGAAATGCAATTTTCCTTATTATTACATTAAATTGTGTGATTAGCTCATTAACGGTTTGATCAGCAACAGACAAATGCACTTCTCGAAATACGCACCTAATTGCTTGCGTTCAAATATAAAGATGGGAAATGTGTTGGTGGGAGTTGGGTATAGATGTTGCTGTCCTGAATCATACGTAATTATCCAGGTAAATGCTGATACATATTCAACAAATACGAACAATACTCGCGATATATATATATATATATATATATATATATATATATATATATATATATATATATATATATATATATATATTTTTGCCGTTATTTGGTAATTTTTTTTAACGCCATGCTTTAGGGTTTGGTGAAGGCTTGTCTTATTTAAGGTATGCCAAATTCATTCACTTGAAGCCATTTTTAATCACTGATCTAGGATCTAGGAAAATGGTTTTAAACGTGCCATTAGATTGGCATCTAGGTACCACCCGTTTACTGTTGAAATAGCTAAATGCAACCGCCACTTCTACTCCAACATTTTCCTTTCTCGCACTTCGCGCCTTCCGTTTACTTAATTCCCTGCTAAGTAGAATCTTCAATAAATTTAATGGAACGTCAATTGCCATCTTCTATCTTTTTGAATCCCGCTCATCTTTCTTAAATCCTCCCTATACTCAGTCTAATGGCATTCCCTCCTTGCTTGGGATAAAATGATTTTCTGTCTGAATTACTGGAATAAAAAGTTATCATCATTTCTTTATTTTTAATCGAGTTCACCCCAAGCAAGGCAGTAAATCCACCAAGACACAAGGCATTACTTGGTGTGAAAGTATTGAAAAACAGAAGCTTTTCTAAAGCTTGAGAACAAAAAAAAAAATAACCAAGGGGACAGCGATTGACAATGCATTTAATTTTTTAAATTAGATTTTACTGGAAAGCGTGAATCCGGAAGGGAGTTCCACAAGCCAGAAAAAGAAAAAATCTTTTAGCATGGAATTTACAGCTACATCTAGCCAACTCCACTGTAACTTGATGAAACCTCAATGCTAGTATAGCACTGTGCTTAAATTCATAAAGACGTGATACAATCATGAAGAGCTCATCCGAGCAAATACCATGAAAACATTTATTGAAGAAAAAAAAGGAAACTGAAGTCAAGACGCCAAATCAGGACCAATAATATTGTAGATACTTCTTTGGATTTCATCTAGGATATCTAGATATATACCAGGACCACCAGTCCATATGTGATGACAATATTATAAGCATGGAAGAATGGTAGACTTGTAGATAAATAAAATAGATTCTGGAGTGAAAAAAATGTCTAGCACGACACAAGGAACCAACTTTTTAGCTGCTGATCTAGCAATGGATTCAATATAGTCTTTCCACTTCATACCAGACGATATTTACCTTCGAACTAATGTCGCCATCTTTGCTGTTGCTAACACAGCGATTCGGCCGTCGCGAGCTCCCTCCACCGCGGCTTTCATTGGGTGTATATCGATCGGGGTAATCTACAGGGACTTCCGAACTAAACACTTTATTTAATCTAAGGGGCTAGACTGTTCTCGTTGCACTGTCCATGTCTAGGGGTATCTCGTCTACTTGGGCATTTTAGTCGTACTCCATCATTGTTCGCCCTTTTTCCACTGAGACTAAATAACCTTTGCCCGACCAAAGGACTAAACTCACAATTACGATGTGACCAAATTAATTGATGTGTGCTGGTGCTTGTGAGTTCAATTACTGAATCGAGAAGTGTGTACTTGGACTTAGTAGTAATTGGGCGACCAATAATGAAGCTGTTCCAAAAATAAGAACTCGTGATATCCCGAGACACGGGCAGTGGAACGAGAACAATCTACCTCCTGGTGGGACGTAACGTACGTGCTAAATAGCTTACTAACCAATGGATGACAAATAGTATTATAAGATGATGATGATAATGATAATGATGATATTCATTTTCCTTAGTCACAGTTGAAGAAAAGATTGATGGAATAGAGAAGAAAGGTCCATGAAGATTTGTCATAACCGAATATCAACATGATTATTCATATATGTTCACATGCTTACATTGATTGCCAGAAAATATATTTAGTTTTTAAGAATTTTTTATATAATAATGATTAAGTGATATAAGTCTTACTAATAAACCCACATCTTGGAGGAAAATAGGTGGATTCGTTCCTTTCCCGAGGATATTTGGGCTTAAGTGAATATAAGTAACCCAACAAAAATTGGAACTCGGCTCTCCGACTAACAATTCTGAGTCAATACCCATTACTTGCATATCCAGGCTTACAGTACTTGGTATTCACAAACGGTCTCTCATCTTGGTACTAACCAGTCTCAACGTTGCTTAAATTCGGAGATCGTCCGGAAAGCGGTGTTTCAAAGAACTGAAGAATGATGCAAACATGTTTACATATGTAAACATAGCTATGAATACAAATATAATTTCAAAATTAAAAAAATTAAAAAACTAAGAGGCTAGTTTATTTTTTAATGTCTTCGATTGGGTTTTTAATTAAAAGTTTATAGAATTCCAGATCCCCAAATTTGATGCTTAAGCTGGAAGTGATACTTATAACTTATGGAACTTCCTAGATACACATGTGATCAATAGGAACAGTGGATTCTGGGAAGGGCTGATAACTCTGCGCCTGCAGCCGAACAGGTATATGGGATACTGCGTTAATCAAATATTTGTTTTATTAGCCTATGTCATATGACGTAATTTATGAAAAAATTTATGTCATTTGTTTCGAGGATAAAAACAGACGAACCCAAAATAATTTGATAGCAATATTTTTAATAAGTATGTGTCTATGCATCTCGCCAATCCCTATTTTTTTGCTAATAATTTTGTAGGAAAATTTAACGATGTGAAAATTGCTTTGACAGAGAACGAAATATGTGACATCGAAATCCAAATAGGAACTGTGAAAAATCTCTTCGAAGAGCTAAACAAATTATTAATAGATTTGAATATTTCTTTAGAAAAAAAGGAGGCAGTGATGTGTTATATCAGTCCTTCTATATAGCAGTAAACGCTGGAAAATATTCGTACAAGTAAAGAGTATATAGGAGGCAAGAGAGATATAATTCTACAGAAGGATACTGAGAATATCATGGAGAGATATGAGTAAAGAGGAAGTTTTAAGGGATTTGGAAAGAAAAGAATACTTACATAGAATAAAAAAAAGTCAATTTTGGAGACACATGTTGATGAAAGAGTGCTTTTTTTTAATCATTTCACACCTTTAAGGCAATAAAACCACTAAAATGCAAGAGGAGTTCGAAACAATCTGAGACAAAACGTTTTTAAGAAGAGAGTACAATAGAAGAACAACGTTCAAAGAGAAAGAAGATGACGATTGATATTGAATTTAAATTTTTGAAGATCAAAATTGATTCGAAAGCTAGAGTTCGAATCAGAGTTCTCCAAACGACAAAAAAAAAACTGTTAGCATAGAATTTATGGTTACACCTAGCAACTCTAGTTGTAAAATGATGAGACCAATCTGTCAATCAAGTACTGAGCTGAAATTCGTAAAGTCCCGTTACCAAAGAGGAAAGTTCATCAGAAAGCTTATCATGAAAATATTTATTGAAAAGACACAGGGTAGCTACGTTATGGAGGTGTGAAAGTGACGGTAGCCGAGATGCCAGCTCCGGACAGATAACATAACACATTAATCTGTGGATTTTGTCGAGAACCTCTAAATAGATGGAAAAAAAAAGCACAGACCAGCGGCTTGGAGAATCTAATGATTGCAGGATATAATGAAGGCATAATGCGCCGAGGGAAACATCGTATAATCTACCTAATGAGGTTATGTAAATGGCAGACTGTAGAAGACAGTAAAGTGGCAAATATTGCTTTGAGTTACAAAGGATAGGAAACGGTGGAGAGCCATGATCACCAACGTTTTAAATGATCACGTCACATAAAAGAAGATATCACCAAAGAAACGTATAAGTATAACCTTGGAAAACAGTAGATTTTTATAAATTTTGTGATAGAGATGTATTGAAATCTAAATGCAACATTTTGTAAAACCGGATCCCGACTGTAGGTCATTCTTATTTTAAATGGTAGATTTTTTAACGAACTCATGTACTATTTTTCCCCAACCGATTTCCATTTTTCTAAGCACAAACCAACCAGGAGAATTATAGCAACAAATAAAAGTAGAGAAATGTAAAATTGCAATGATTAATCTTGATGCCACAATATCAATGATAACTGTGAGCGATGAACTGCCGAAGAAAGAATGAGTTGGCAGAAAACGTATGCATTAACAATGGATTTGCCGCGGGTAGCAGCGATCTTTTTTTTTCTTATTAATTAATGGGAGAATAATGGCGAATAAGGAAACCAGAAAAGCGTTTGGGAGTTTCCTCCTTGAATAAAACATAAATCTTTATTCTTCATTTTCAACTCATGTCTGTTTATGTACAGCAAAACGTAATTTTCTTGCATGATCGAATAATTTAAAGCAAAACCCGCTGTTAGACAGTAACAGTCTAAAATAGAGAAATACGACTTCTAATAAGCATATTGACATCTGTATGAGCCATGTGTGACTAGTATAGTTTCTTACGTAATTGACGCAATGTCGCAGTAATATGTAATCAGCGGCTATATATAAAAACCATATTGATTATTGCTTCATAAACATCAACATGAGGGATGTTGTAGTTTCTCACGTTTCAGTCTTTCTGTTGAATATAAAGAAACGCTTTTGCATATCAACATCGTTATGTAGAATTAATTTATGGATTTATGTAAAAAGCTGAAAACAATTTGGTGAATAAAGCCGGCCTTTTCGTCCAAGTTCGCATAACAAAACTTAACGGCGTTTTTAAGGTGAATTTTTAAAGAAGATATTTAGATATTTGTACATATTTATTCAAGCCTGTGTCTGCGATTTTGTTTCGCTATATTTCGACATCTTTGAGACAGCTTCATGATTCCATCCTCACAGTATTTGGTACCCTTCTGGGCGATGAACTAATCTGAGTGGATTGTACAGTTTTTCAAGAGTTCTTCCTACACAAGGAATTTTTTTAGGGATCGAAACAATCAGTATTCTGAAAGGGCGATGTGTGGCTGGTCTTCTTAAAAAGTAGGTCGGTTTTGTTGCGGTTATGCAGAGAAACGCAGATGGAAATGCGGTTCATTGAAATTCGTTTCCTTTAATTCGTGAGGCATCCAACTATAATAGCGATTCATGTACCCAAGTGTTTCACGTATCGAAGTGTTTTCTTACAATCCTGTATGGAGTATCACTGCGATGTCTCGTGCCGTGTAACCTAGATTACTTTAAATCAGTTTTCTGATTTGATCATCACCAACGATCCAGTCTTGCCGGAACGTTCAGGTATTCCAATTTAATATTTTCACTTATTAATATAATGAAACACTTCTGAAAAATATTGTCCACTACAGCACCATCAGCAAAAACGACACATAATCTTTTTTACTGTTTGTAAAGCTTCTTTTCAGCTTTCCGAATATAAAAGGGCACAAAATGACAAAAAGCCATCTTATTTTCCTCCATTTTCACCTTTAACGGAAAAACATTTAAAATTCCCAATCCAGACACGCGTCATCTAGCTTTTAAAAGGTGTAATTGTGACAAAGATTACAGCAAATATTATGAAAAAATATGGTTCCGCCGATAACCTGTATAATATGTTAGGTAGTATTGAGTTATATAACACCAGTAACACTCATAGTGATATGACAGCAATTGAGAGTCCCGTATGATCACCGGAGTTAAGCAACATCGAACCTGGTAAATACCTAGATGGATGACAGCTAGAAATACCAGGCGATGTATGCTTGGATGTGTGGGTGGTGTACTGGATAATGGTTCGGAATTGTTAATTGGGGAGTCAGGCCTGTCCGTTATATTCCATTGCTCGGAAAGACTCTTATAGCTATAGGTTAATTAGTAAGACTTGCACCTCTAAATACTTAGTGAAAAATTTCATATCTGTATTAATCATATATATATATATATATATATATATATATATATATATATATATATATATATATATATTTCTGCATATAAAACGACCTTTAGATAAGACGAGATCAAAAATATAGCAAATTTTCATAGATTTTATGCTGTATCCTTTGAAATTCAAAATAAAGGAAATAACAAAGGCGATTCCATATCATGTTTTTCCTACACACGTCCCCTAAAAGAAAGACAATTGTTTTTTTTTTGTTTTTTTTGTTGTTGTTGTTGTTTCATCATCTGATCTCTTCCGAATACTGATTCTTCTTTTCCTATATCTAAACAGTTACAAACAGCCTGGTGTACTAATGGCCATTTACTTATATTTCATTGACAATAAAAAAAATACCGCTAATAACAGTATTATAATGTACTATAAAAGTTGCTTTGAACACAATCCTAACTCGATGTTTACATTTTCTCAGCCGAGTTTTCATGGATAAAAGCTGATTTCATTGATATGGAATCATTCTTCGAATATGCAATTTATTATGAAGTTCTGCCAGTAATATGTAAGTTAGATATGGTTATATTACTTTTATTATCAGTTTATTTGATAATGTGAATATTTTCATGTGTTATTGATTATCACACCGAGGCAGAGGTTACCCTACCGACAAACATCAGATTTTAAGGTTTCTTTTTTAGAATGTTAGTATAATAGGACCCACAATTTGTAAGGATGTTTTGGAGATTTAAAGATTGGCTTATACGCGGAAATATATGATGCATATATATATATATATATATATATATATATATATATATAAATGAATAGGTTAATGAAAATTTCGATGCTTTGAAATAATATATATATATATATATATATATATATACAAATTCTGTTGCCATGCTTATAATAGATTCCAACAGTGATAAAAATGTACACAAACTTGCAGATGCACAAAGTATGCCGGGGTATATAAAACGTCATAGATATTTTCAAACAAACTTAAAATAAATGATATATTTCTTACAACGATTTTCTTTTAATATATACATATGTGAATGCAAGCATTTTCCTTTGGGCTTTCAAGTAATCTATCAATTCTTTTTTTAACTATCCCAGTAGCGAAAAACGAAAATCATTTTCGTCTCTTTGCATTTGATGTGTTCCACCATTCAATCAAATTGGCAGTATGCCGAAGCAAATCCAGAAATATCAAAAGCCCACTTCATTCTCTGCGTCACAACACTATTAACCACAGCGAAAAGACTCCCCAATATCAAACGCAAATTCCCGCTTCCAGTTGATGTCATTACTCTGATCATCCACATCGTTTTTCTTTTCAAGGAATCTCTCATCCCGGAAAAGTTTTGAAAATCAGTATTTCACTTAGATTATCCTATCTCTCTCTGACTTCACACACATTATATATATATATATATATATATATATATATATATATATATATATATATATATATATATATATATATAAAATGTGTGTTTCTGAGATGAGGTATTGTAATTATTTACATTGTTCTGGCTGTTGTCCACATCTTTTTTGCCATATTCACGACATTTCGACCGTTATACGCTCCGGCCTTCCGGAAGACGCATGCCACGCAATAGAACAATCTGGCCCGGTGAACGAAATAAAAGGGTCAGTTAGAAATTCCAATCGTCTGAAGAAGGCCGGGGCGTACAACAGTTGAAACGTCATCAATATAGCAACAAACCTGATGACAGTTCGAACAATGTAAATAGTGTAATAATTATAATACAATCTCATCTCATATATATATATATATATATATATATATATATATATATATATATATATATATATATATATATATATATATTTCTGAGATGTGGTATTGTATTTATTTACACTATTTACATTGAATGTCGGTTTTATATCTAGAGACGAGACGCGTTAAATTTGAGCAACATCTAGCCGACACACTGGGGTTAAAAATAGGAAATTGAAATGATACATATGACACACTCATATCCTCTCTCTCACCTCACTTCCTCACTTCGTTAATTTTACGTATACTTGATGAGGTCCGTCAAAAACGTGTGAATTTCTTTTCATTTTTCATTTCAGCTTTTGGAAGTAAAGTCTGATGATCCAGAACCCTGTTAAAGGGGTTATGGTGAAATAGCTTATTACATGGAATCTTAACGTGGTCTGTTTTTTATTCAAATATATATATATATACAGTAGCGTCCAAAACTAAGGGACAAAATTTTAAAACCTAATATTTGTTAGAAATAACAACTATGAAAAGCTGAAATTTTGACAACTGGTAGTCGTTATCATCTATAATAACATACTAAAATTTAAATCATTTGCAAAGGATAGAAAAAGAATTATAACAATTATTTATTTATTTTCAAAATAGGATCGTCCAAAAGTAAGGGACAAAATTGAGAAAAACAATGTAAACAGTATGCTATATTCAAATTTTTTGATTTCCTCTAAAGAATAAGTCTTAGTTAGTCATTTGTAAACGTTGCATCAGCCGGCACCATGGCGAAACGCCAAAAACTTGATTACTCTGTGAGACAAGCTATTGTGAAGCTACACAAGAAAAAGCACATCATTAGAGAGATTTCAGAGAAAGTGAAACGTTCCAAGAGTGCTGAAGGCAGGGTTGTTAAATCCTACAATGATACTGGCAAAATAGTTAGTGCTTTTAAAACCGGCAGACCCCGCAAAACTTCGGCAAGAGAAGATCGAATAATGCTGCGTATGTCATTAAAGTACCGTTTTAAGTCTTGCACAGAAATTAAAAGGGTTATGAATAGTACCTAATGTGTTAATGTGTCAAGACAGACTGTTTGTAGACGACTGCAAGAAATAGGGCTGTTTAATCGAACCCCAGGGAAGAAACCACTTGTTAGTTCGAAGAATAAGAAGAAGAGATTAGAGTTTTCAAACAGGTATGTAATTTGAAGATCATGTTGTGCCAATCATACAGAATTCAGGTTTCGATAGGGCTACCTTTATGCAAGATAATTCCCCATGTCACAAGGCAAAGGTGGTAATGAGTTACCTTAGCGAGCAAGATTTGGAAATTATGGATTGGCTACCGCAAAGTCCTGACTTAAATCCAATAGAAAATCTTTGGAAGACCTTAGGAGTGAAAGTTATGGAAAGAAATCCCACTAACACGGAGGATTTGTGGGTGAAGCTTCAAGAAGAATGGTCTAAAATTAGTATCGAGGATTGTCAAGAACTGATTCGTTCTTGTAGTCGAAGATGTGCAGCTGTCATTGAGAGCAAGGGCTCATTTACTAAATATTGATTGTACATGTATTTTTATTTTTTTTTTTTTTTGTCGTTTACATTGTTTTTCTCAATTTTGTCCCTTACTTTTGAACGTTCCAAATTTGAAATTAAATAAATAATTGTTATAATTCTTTTTCTATCCTTTGCAAATGATTCAAATATTAGTATGTTATTATGGATGATAACGACTACCAGTTGCCAAAATTTCAGCTTTTCACAGTTGTTATTTCTAACAAATATTAGGTTTAAAAATTTTGTCCCTTAGTTTTGGACGCTACTGTATATATACTTTGGTTTGTTGATTTATTTTCTCTCTCCTTCACCACACAAAGAATATTGATAGAACGTTATCTCGGTCTGTTTTCCTTATGTCATTTAACTTCTGTTTCTCCCCTTCTTCACACAGAAAATCTATCATTCTCTGTCTTTCTCGCTTTATCTTTCACTCACCCACTCTCTTTTTCCTCTTTTTCTCAATCTGTTTCTATCTGCCTATCAGTTAATGCATTTGTTTCAGCCTCTATCTTTCTCTGTTCTCTGTCTTGTTCCCCGCTCCTGTGATTAAGTTTTCTTCTTTTGTTTGCCACCCTGTCACTCAGCCTGTCTATATCTCTCTTAGTCATAAACTCATTCTCTCTTATCTGCACGTTTCCCACTCTATAAACTCTTCTATGTTTTCTCTCTTTCTTATTCTCTCTCTTCCTCTCCCTCCCTCAATATCATTCTTCATTTTGTCCCCCACTTCATTTTGCTTTCTACTATGTTTACTCCTCTATCTCTCCAAATTTCTCTTCGTCAAAAACTCACTCTCTCCTATCTATAAGGATCCCACTCTATAAATGCATTTGTGATCCTCCCCTCTCTCTCTCTCTCTCTCTCTCTCTCACACACACACACACACACACTTTATCCCACTCCCTATCATTATCTAGTTTTTCTCCCACTGTCTTGCATTCTACTTTTGTCTGCTCCTCGGTCTGTTTATATCACGCTCTCTTACTCAAAACCTCACTCTCTCTTACCTGCATGCACCTCGCTATATGATTTCTTTCTTTCTTTCTTTCTTTCTTTCTTTCTTTCTTTCTTTCTTTCTTTCTTTCTAGTATTCTCTATTTTGTCCCAGACTCCGTTAATTTAGCTCCCTACTTTTGTTCGCCCATTGTCTAGCTATATCTCTCTTCGTCCCAAACTCACTCTCATTTATCTTGCATGCCTTCCACTCTATAAGCGCCTGTATGAATTCTCTCTATATCTCACTTTCGTTCTCCCTCTCGCTATCAATCTTTATTTGGTGCCCCCTCCCCTTCATTTTGCTTTCTACTTTTGTTTGGCATCTGTCTGCATGTCAAAAACAGACACTCTCTTATCTCCATGTATCTCGCTCTATAAATGAATCTGTTATGTCTCTTTCTTTTGTTCGTTCATTCTCTCTTGCGTTCTCACTCTCTCTCTCTCTCTCTCTCTCTCTCTCTCTCTTCCTATCCTCTCACATTCATTTAGCTTTCAACTTCTCGTTCCTCTGTCCCTCTATATTTCACTAAGTCGAAAAAACACTCCCCCTTATCTGCTTCCGTCCCACTCTATAAGCACATCTAGGTGTTCTGCCTCTCTCACGCCCACTCCTTCTCTCTCAGTCCCTATCATTCTTCATTTTGTCCCACACCCTCTTCATTTTGCGTTCTACTTTTTTATATCTCTATCTTTTTACATTTCTCTGAATCAAAAACTCACTGACTCGTATCCGCATTCGATAAATGCATCTGTTCATTCCCCCCACCTCTCTTTTTCTCTGACTTCCCCTCCGTATCATTATCTTTTGTCCCCCACTCTCTTTCATTTAACTTGCAACCCTCGTTCGCTCCTCTGTCTATCTATATCTCTCTTAATCAAAAACGCACTCTCTCTTATCTCCATGCGTCCCTCTCTATATGCACATCTATGCTTTCTCTCTCTCTTATTCTCTCTTCCTCACTACCCTTCTTATCATTCTCTATTTTTCCTCCTACTTCCTTTGATTTTGCTTTCTAGTTTTTACCCGTCTCTCTCTCTCTACATTTCTCTTAGTCAAAAACTCCCTCTTTCTTATCTTCATGCATCATCCCTCTATAAACGCATCTATGCTTCCTTTCTCTCTCTCTCCCTTGTTCTTTCTTCCTCCCTGCCATTTCCCTATCATGCTCTATTTTTCTCCCTTTCATTTTGATTTCTACTTTATTACTCCTCTCTCTCTCTCTCTTTCACTGCGTTTCTCTTAGTCAAAACCCCACTCTCTCTTATTTGCATGCGTTCCATTCTACAAATACATTTGTGCTTTCTCTTTGTCTCTCTTTCTATTTATCTATCTCGATTAACAGTTGGCTTTTTACATATAAAAACAAAGAAAACACAATACGCATATATAATGGCTGTTGTCTTTACATTTTCTTGACGCAATTGATGTATGTCGGATATCTGCTTAGTATGGGTTACTTTATATATTTTTTCATTATCGATATTATTGGATGTAAAGTTGAAGAGAACCCCTATTGTTTACAAGCGCTAATACTACATAAACGGCCATAAAAATACATAAATGACTTACATTAGTGAAAAATAAAATAAAATAGGTCGTATTTGAAATGTAATTTACGTTTTAATACGTTCAGTGTACATTTGAAAAGCAATTTTTAAAAACTTTTCTGTTGTTTTGCTAAACATCAGATTTTAAAAGTTTCCTCGGAGCTAAGAATCGGCGGATGTTTATTTTGAAATGAAGTCGAATGCTATATATTAAAACTTGTTTTTCGTAACAAATGCACTTTGGGAATTTATTCGGAATTCAAAAGATCTAAGTTTCTTTAACAATATTAACAATATGCAACTATTCCATTCCATATTTTCTTTATTTTAAAGCATCGAATTTTTCATTAACTTATTCATTTTATATATATATATATATATATATATATATATATATAGATAGATAGATAGATAGATAGATAGATAGATAGATAGATACCCATATATATATATATATATATATATATATATATATATATATATATATATATATATATAGAGAGAGAGAGAGAGAGATACCAGCTACGACCAATTATTTCCCAGATCCCATCCCCTATCTACGGACTATCAAAATTCTTGAACGACATCATTATTCCATATCTACCTACCAATTACAGCATCACATCCACCCAGGAATTCCTCTAAATTTTAAAAACTACTAAACTAAATCAAGGTATAATAGCATCACTTGACGTCGAAAACTTATTTACAAACGTCAAACTATTGACATTATCCTCAATTCTGTAGATACTAATAATTCTATCCCTCCGCCATCCATCAAACCATCTATACTAAAAAAAAAATTACTACACGCATGCGCAACCAAAGTTTCCTTCTATGACCATAATGGCAACATTTACATCCAAACTAATGGTGTTAGTATGGGAAATCCACTCGCTCCATGCTTTTCCAAGTATTATATGTCGCACGTAGAAAATATGATATTCACAAAGGTCCTTAAACTAAAAATATATGTTCGCTACGTAGATGATATTTTTATTTTAGCTAATAACATTAAAGAAATAGATACACTTAAGACTACCTTTGAGAAAAATCCGTTCTTAACTTTACCTAAGAACTTAGTCAAAAAAACAAATTTTCATTCATAGATGTTCTTGTAGAATACAGCAATAACACTTTCATTACATCATTATACAAAAAACCCACTAGCATAAACTCGTGCCACCTTAACTTTAAAAGCGAATGTCCACTTAGGTACAAAATAGCTGTAATAAAAAAACTTCCTAAAAAGAGCACACCAGAATTCATCCTCTCGACTACTCTTTCTCAAAGAACTTAATAATGTAAAACATACACTAATCAACAACGGCTTCCCTAACCACCTTATAGACCACCAAATTAGACTATTTCTCCCAAAATGAATAATGATAATGAACACACAGTCAAAAATTACATACACATTTATTACAAAAAACCAAATGCACATTAATTAAAAATCAAGACGAATCTTCACTAAGACATATTATAAAGAAATACACTACCCCAATTGACCTGAATAAAAAAAATCAAATTAAAGTAAAGTGTTCAAGAACTGTATTGAAGAAACGATGGATTTTGATCAATTGTAATTGTATGATGTTCCTTACAATGCAACACGGCAAAAATCACATCAGAAAAAAGTGTAGAACTCGGCTGTTCTAGATGCTACTTATTCTCAAGGTGTTACTACCACCTAATCCGCTTTGATAGGCTCGTTCTGAAAACACATGAAGAAGCCGATGTTACCCGTTTTACATTTGCCCTTATTCTTTGGTTTCGATCTGCGTTGCTTAATAATGGGCATATAATAACAACTCTAAGAGTTGCGGCAAAATCAACTGAAATTCAAATATAAGGTCACTCCTCCTCTTCTTCTTCTTCCTCCCCTCCCTCCTCCCTTCCTTCCTCCTCCTCCTCTTCTTCTTTCAGGTACCATGTCTCCACTAGACGTGGGTGATCATAGCTCTCCACAATTTCTTATCCTTCATAAAGTTTAATAGACCCTAACCTGGCATTCATTTACAAAGCTCGTTTACTCGCTGTATCCCTCGGTCCCTCTTGCTTAAATATATCTTAAGAGTGTCAAATTTCCCAAGCCGTCCTTCCTCATTATATTTCCGAGAAAGTTCAACTGTTTCTTTCTGATTTTATGTATCACTTTCCCTTTTGTTTTCATTTTCCTTAAAACTTTCTCGTTGATTAAATGCTCAGCCCATTGAATTTTCAGCATCTTTCTGTAGTACAACTCTTGTCTCAAGTCTTCTCTTCAACTGCGAGGAAATTTCCCAGCATTGGGACGTAAACTTTTTGAGTTTAACCGCAGTACTAGACTGACGTCATGATCTCATCAATTTACAGTTGAACTGGTTAGATATAACCGTAATGCCCTCTCTCGCACTTCTCTCTTGTGGAACTCCTTTCTAGCTCCGTGCTTTCGAATCAACTGCAAAAATTTAAATCCAATGTCAATTGCTCTCTACTGTCCACCCGATGATTCGTTTCTCTTTCTTTGTGTTTTTAGCGGCTTTACTGCCTTCCATGGGGTAATACCGATTAAAAAAAATAACATGTTTCGGAAATCACGAAACTTCAAATACTGCATTAATATATTTTAAGATACCTTTTATATATAGTTTTGTTTCACATTTACTCGACTTAGTGTATTCTAGTACAAGGGCAAGTACAGAAGATATTGAACCAATCCACCAAATGCAAGAGTCTGCGTTCTTCCTATTGAAATAATCATTGTAAGTCAGCTTTTATCTAGATTCGAACATCGACCACAGGAACAACGTGGATCGTCAACCAGGCGGCAGATTATCCGGGTTTTTTTTTCACTGCGAAGCTGCGTGAGCCATTCTAAAATTACTATGTTTGAATGCCTGATGTGCTTCACCTCATTTTTTCCATTTTTTTTTCTCTGCTTATTCGTAGCAAGCTGTTTGACTGTCGTTTGAAATTGGCGCACAATTCCGTTCTTCATCGAAAGAAATAATAAAAGTAAACGTTCTTTCACTTATGTGTTGACATTTAAATTTCACTTGTAGGTCTTTGGAAAACTTTTCAATTTGTAAAACTTGAAATGGAATTGATATAAACGGTAAATAAGAAAAACAGAAATTTGTTCACAATGAAACGTGTTTCGTGAGTTGGCAAACATTATCAATAATGGAATTTAATTTCTGTTTATATACATTAATGATTAATTTACTAATTAAAGATATCAGTTACATACTTTTTTTCAATAAATGTAAGAAGACAAAGAATTTATTTTATTTTATTTGTAACAAGCTCATAAGAAAATTCTAAAGTTTCAGCCAGAGAAAGTATAAACTAAGAATGTCTAATTAAATTTTATTCCTTTACATACATTCAGATATTATCAATAATTCCCTTCACAAACCAGTAGCTTTATAATTCTGCCTTTTAAATCATCTGGTTCGGCGAAAACGAAGGAAGAAATAATAGATTCCATTTCTTTATATGTTTTAAGATCTTGTTCAACGAGGTGGTTCAGTAAATGTTGGGCTAGGTACTAATCAGATAGTACAAGATTTTGAGAATAAAAACATTGATTCTTTTTATCCAAAGGAACCACTTTTCTTGAACTATTTTAAGAGAAAAACCTTCTGAATTTCAAACGAAAGTAATGCTAACTGTTGGTTGCCTGTTTTTGTTCAGCGGTATATCAACACCTCTATGGGTTATTTAATGCCGAAATCTAAATATTTTCTATTCAATTCTATAATTTCTTTGGCGATAATGGCTTTAGTAATAAAAGTCTTACTAATTAATCTATAGCGGGAGGGAGAATCATCTGGTTTGGCGAAAATTAATACCTTTCCCAAGAGTATTTGCGTGTAAGTGAATATAACGTACCCGACCGGAATTAGAGCTGGGGTCTCCAATTAACAATTCTGAACCATTATCTATTACACGCCCCGCACATTGATGTTTACAGCACCTGGTATCCCTAAGCGGTCACCCATTTAGGTACTGGTCATGCTCGACGTCGCTTAACTTCGGTGTTCGTACTGGAACCGGATTTTCAACGCGATATGGCCCTAAGACCAACGCTAACTATTCGATCAGTGAATGCCGAATGTTTCCTCATAAGGAAACGGTTAATCTCACCAGTAACAACCCAAATCGTTAATCTTTGGATGAAGTTACGTACCAGTAAGAATGGAAGGCAATTGCAAATTGAGAATCTTGTTTCTACGAAGCAGTCTTTACATACTTACTGATAGCGTAATGACAGTTGTAATTGTAACTGTAACACTGATAGCAATTCAACGTAAGCCATACCAACACAATTCCACAGGAATACTCACAAAGTCTTTCTTTGAATGGAGGCCCATTTTAAGATGTGTTTTCGGTTCTTAACCTCCATTAAGCCATTTCTCTATTTTATTCTTGTAAAAATATCGCCTTTCCCCTTCTTCGTATGTACAGTGTCCATTCAGAAAAGTTGTCGGAGTTTTCCACAGTTTCTTTCTTATGTAGCTATCAGCAACGGTTTTTTCATTAGAATTATTCCTTACTCTGCCGTCCATTTACTGTTACAACTCACTCCTAGCATTATATCTTTGCTTTGTCTACTCGTCATAGAATTCTCTCCAAGTGACTCCAACGGAATGGTATATACCCAGACTCCCCACTGAGACGAAATGTGATACAAGGTCAAGTTTAGTGTGGGGAACACGAGTGCATACACTCGTGCCAAAGAACAAATTTTCCCCAGCCTCTGCAACCCGTGGGATCGGGCATTTTTTATTGTCTACTTTTCTCAGCCTAGTCTCCGTCCGTAGACAGAGCTCCGACCAAGTCTTACTCTGCCTGACAATCGCGGGCTGACTGCCTGACTCCGACTGAGTGGTATTTACCGGCCGCTCCACTGCGGACTAGATGCGACACAAGGTTAAGTTAACCGTGGGGAATCCGAGCATTTCCACTTCTAATTTATCCACATCCCGCAATAGCCGGCTCGGGTACAGAACTAGTCTGTTTTTCTCAGACGAGTCTCTATCCAAAGACAGAGCCCGCCTGAGTCATCCTCTGCTCGAAGACGGGGGTCTTGTCACCCTCTGTTCGAAGACAGAGGCCTTGTCACCCTCTGCCCGAAGACAGAGGTTTTGTCTTGTCGCGAGCCTTGGACAGACTGCGACTGACTTCTGTTGACTCACTTTGAGTTCTTTATTTAAGGTATCTTCCCTAGTTCATTTGTGCTACCGGCGCGGGAGGATGATTTACTCCACAATATTTACACTCGTCACGAGAACTAGACATTCTTCGTCTTTTATGTGACGTATCCCTTCAGGAAGTGGGCAATCGTGACTCTCATTATATTCCTCTCTTTTGTCGCTCATAGAGATGTTTGCTTCTTTTTATAATGTTCTTCCCACCCTGTTCTGATATCCCTTTATAGAAACACTATATCTAGGTTACGTGATGTTTCACTTTGTCTCTCTTGCTTTCAACATGCCCTGTGAGTATCAAATTCCCCATGCCCTCTTTCCTAATTATGTGTCCCAGACATTTCAAATGACACTTTATGAATCTATATAATGATGTCCTTTTTGTTGCAATTTTTCTTAAACTTTAATCGTTGCTCACATGCTCCTTTCATTATATCCATGGTCTCTATGTTCTATCCTTCTATAGTACTAGATCTTTGTTACTCCAGACACTTCTTCATCTTTGAGGAAATTGTCCAATATTCACTATTATATAGGATGGTTGATATTACATAGCATTTTAACACACTTTTCTTCGTTTCAGACGGAATTTTCCTGTTTCTTAAAACTTTGCTTAGCTTTTGGAAGGTATCTTTCGTTAATCCAATGTGCCTTTGGATTTCGTTGTCACAGTTGCCTTCGTTCAACCTTAGCTCACACCTTGGGATATTGCTCTTGCTGACAACCATACAATCTGATAGTTACTCCGTTTTTATTCATAGATGCGCTTACGGTTGGTGTCTATCAAATGAGGGGGAAACTACTTTTCCTACTTTAGCCATAATTGAAATGACCTACAACTGAAATTTAGCCATGATTCTGGTTTGCAACAAATGAAGGTGAACCGCTGAATAACATAAATACGACTTCCCCATTAATTCTCCACCCTTAAGTGTACGTTTCCTCTTGAGTTCCGACTAAATTAGGTCATCTGTCTGTGTCCAAAATCTTAAACATAAGATACGTTTCCTAAACCCTTCATACGGTTATTTTTTTTCGTCTAGCTAGATGCGACCAACGCTTCAACAGTATCTTTCCTCGTATTTCCCACCTGTGGAACTCCCTTCAGATTTCTTGCTTCCCTGATAACTACAATTTTCAAAAATTGAAATGCAAAGTCAATCGCCATCGTCTGTGTTCTTGAGCAATCTCCTTTTTTTACCTTCCTTAATCCTCCCCATTCTCAGTCTTCTCTCTCTCTCTCTTTCACTTTCACTCCCTGTAAAGCCCTGCGTCTTAGTGGCATTATCACATTGCTTGGGCTGAAACGATTAAAAGAAAAGAATTTACCCAATGACATGAACATCTGGATCTTACTGCAGCATTATTAACTTTTCTAAACTTAAGGGAATGACATGTTTTACGGATTCAGTGGACTCGTCTATCTTTAAAAGGTGTCCTAAAATACTGTGACGATGTAACCTTTTTAAATACTTTCATCGTATCTGTTCTGATGAACTTTTCTCTGTACCTAGAGTCTATGAATTTAAGTGAATTATTAGATTGGTGCCAAGATTTCATCATCACAGTGGCCAGATGCAAGTTTTATGCTAACAGTTTCTTTTTCATCTCTCTTCCGGCTTCTTGGTTTCCGGTTAAGTTTTAGGTTCAGAAATTTAAATGCAATGTCGATCGTTGTCTTCTGGCTTTTTAATTTCTGTTTTTTCGTTGTTCTTGCTTGTTAATAATGTTTTTCTTTATATTCTTTGACACTCAGTAACTCCTTACATATTGGTAGCTCTGTTGCCTTTCTTTGGGTGAAAGTATTTAAAAAACCTGTACGAGCATGTCCTAGTATATATAGATATATTTTACATAGCTACAAAACAAGAAATGCTATTCCATCTATCAGTATCAAATTTTTAAACATTACTTTTGGATTATTTGATAAACTGAAAGATTCCTTCTCTTTTGTTTTTTTCAGCCTTTTATTTTTTTTTCATTCGCTGTTGCTCTCACGTCATTTCTTCTTTTATTTTCCTTCATAAGATTTTTTCTTTCTTTCCTTCAACTATAACATTCGTTTGTACTTATTCATTCACTTTTATTCCTTCAATATTTTCTCCCTTCTATATCACTCTTCTGAAAACTCATTTTATCTTTCAACTGTAAGGATGCACAGGTGGTGTAATGGATACAGGCTAGGAATGAGAATTCGGAAATCTGAGCTCGAATTCCAGTTCTGTTCGTTGCGTTTAACTTACGTGCAAATACTCTTGGGAAAGGTATCAATCCATCTATTCATCCCCCAGCCAAGGGTTAAATACCAGGACACACTTTACTCTCTAGTAGAAGTTGGCAGTCAGTTTGGAGAAAGAATTCAAAAATAGTATCCGCCCAGGGACCAAACCATGAGTTGCTGCATAGTACCCTGAAGCCATCCCAGCTATGGTTACGGGGAAAACATCGTCAGTAGAATGTTGGATGAGGTCAATGCCAGAAGCAAAATGATCAGATTTTTGGCAATGAACTGAAATGGTATCATGTAAGTTGATCCCTCATATTGACAGTGGATGAGTTGTTACGAGTCAGATGGAAGCTGCGGGAGCATAGAGAGTAGTAATTTCGTGATCTCGCGATCACGAGAAATAAAAAAAAAATGTCTAGTGACCTCACGATCACGAGAAATAAGAAAAATAATTTCCCATGATTCCCTAGTAAAAAGGAAACCGCCCGACTGGCGGGAAATTTAGAACATTCCTCTTTTCAACGACCTCTCGCCAAGAGAACACATGGATTTTGACAGCTCTGGGAATGAAGACCAAAGATAAATTCTAGTCAGATATCATTTTGTCATGTTGACTATGATCTTTTAATGATACTTATCACTTGCAAAATAATTAATTTAAACAATGCTTATCATAACAGCACTCTATATATGCGCAATGGAGACCCTCCTGATGACACATTTATCACCCAGATAGTTATCTTTCTATTCTTCATTCAGATTTAGCATTGCTTTCTCTCTGTCTTTTAATGAGTTCATTTCTCACTCTTCCTATATCTACTCTCTCTCTCTCTCTCTCGCTACCTATTTCTCTGTGTAGCTCTTCCATTCTTCCTATCTATGTTTTTCTTTCTCACACATACCATTAATATGAGGCAATCGAAAAATACGTTTCAATACGTAATAATGGCGGAACAAAGCAGCGTTTTATTCTTCGTCGAAAACGTGATTCGTTAGTCAATTTTCTTTTCTCGAATTTTCTCCCCTTTTTTTCCGGTGTTTTCGCCTTTGTAACCTTTCATTTCTTTAACTTTTTTCCCTATCCCTTCCTTGTTGATACCGGCAATTATATTCTGCCCTTTATTTTCGCGAATTTCCGAGTTAAAGTGAACCGACATTTTCTATATTTAAAGATTTCGTTTTTCCTTTATTCAATCATTCGGCTATTCATTCATTAGATTCGAACTTTCTTCAAAGATTCTATTGTGTGTGTGTTTTTTTTTCTTTTATTCAGCCTCTGTTTTTTTCTTATTTTACAGATTTGTTTTATGCTTTTCGATTCACACACCTTTCTCTCTCTTTCTATCTTTTATTCGTCATCTTATTCCTTTTTTCTCAGCCTTGATAAAACGCTTCTTGTCGAGAAACAAAAGAAAATTAAACCTTAAGATAAGAAAAACAAAAGTTACGTATGATAAAAATGTAAGGATAATCTTTTTGGTCGGTGTCGTTCATTAAATTTGTCTTTATTGATTTGTTTATCTTACAATAATATTGTTTTAACAAAGATATGAAATGTATGCGCACGTGACTGCGTTCCTTATGGATAATGCAAACACAGGAAAGGGATTTCTTTTTTTTTTTCATACTCGTTTTCTGAACA